CTACCTTGTAGAATGTTTACGATGATGCTAAGTGTCTCTGTGAATATTACTCATATAAGTCATTCATGTCGTGTATTTGCACTTCATGGAACGGCCCTCATGTCTATAAAAAAGGACCAGTGTGCTCGAAAGACGTTAAAACCCGCCAGTCATGTCTCTAATCTTGTCGACTTCTTCCTGGAGGGCCTTCAAATCGTCTAGTATGTTGGCTGTACTGGAGCTGCCGTCCAGGTTCTGGTATATCTGCTGTTCGGGTACTTTGGGAGGCAATGGTGGCCTATCATCAGCAACAGCGTTGGAATTTCCTCTTCTCCGTGAAGGTGGAGGAGGTGGTGGTCCAGGGCGAGAGTTGAGCGGGGATCTAGGCGGAACCGGCGGTCCGTTGATGGCTGGCGAAAGAGATGCTGATCTGTAACGTTGAAATGCTTCGTTGTTGGAGTCGCCGTTGGTGGGTTCATGCTGGTAGGAATGATGATCGATCTGAACCGAGTTTGGCTGCGAGACCGAGCGAGAGCGTCTTGCAGGGACCGGTGGTGGAGGAGGAGGCAGCTTTGCATCAGCTATGCGTGCGTTGTGGGCGGTGTTGTCGAGGGTATCGCCGGTCATTTGAGAAGTGAACGATTGAAGCGAAACACGAGGATGGTTTTCGCCATTCTGCTCGGGCGGTAGGAAACGGGCCATATCGTTAGGTCCCGTAACTTGCGATCGAAGCGGCGAAGGCTGGGGCTCGTTTTCGGGGCGTCCAATGAGTTGTGCCATTTGAGCCGGTCCAGTCATGTTCGGCTGGAGTAGCTGGGGCTGGGGCAGCAGCAGGCCCTCTTGGGGCAGCGGAGTGTAGCCCTGTCTGCCCAAATGGATGTTTGCTGGGACACCGTCGACCAGCATGGTGTCGACCGAGTTCAAGTTCTGGAAATGGTTCATCTGGGGCTCCATATCACGAAGAATCTGTTTTTCCTCAGGGTCGGGCGAGTGAATTGGGCCCGGCGACGAGCGAGGCACCTGTAGACTGCTTCCAGAAGGGCCTGCCTTGGAGGCATTGAGTCTATTCATGAGCTGGTCCATGGGGAGCAGGTAGTCGAGCTCGCCTGGAGGTTGAGCGTTCTGCTGTCTGTCGGAGGCGGGGTCGTGGACGTCTGTGACGATCTGGTCACTGAACTTGACCAGCTTGAGCTTCTTGGAGCGTTTCTTCGGTATTCTTTCGTCGGGACGTTCACCGGTGAGCATGAACTGGGTGAACAGGTCGAGGTCGAGCGGCTTGGAGGGCAGCTCGGGCACCGGCTCGGGCTCCTTGGGCTCCTCCTCGTCGTCATTCTGGCGCTTTTTCAGCAAAATCGACGGCGGCGTGGGCACCGAGGTCTGGATCTTGATGAGCCTTCGACTGGGCTCCTCGCCAGCCAAGGTATGCGAGACCACCCTTAGCAAGGCAAAGAACTCGCCAATGTTGATCAGATGTAGGATCTTGGAGAACAAGCGGTTGATTTTCTCCTGGGCGTCGGCCAGAAGCCGGAAGTTGCTGAGAAACTGGTACACGTCGTTCATGGAGATTGTCCGCAGATTGGTCCGGGCCAAGATGTCCAGGTACCAGCGCATGTACGTTTTGCTTTCCTCCAAGGTAAGCTCCTGTGCCGTGAGCGACAAGCTGATGGAGTCCTCGGATGGAGGGTGTTCTGTTCTCTGCAAGTTGTCAGCCAGAGCATTGGCGAACATGTAGGCTCTGTTTTCGGGAGTTTTCTGCAAATCGGTATTGCTGGCGTGGCCAAACAGCACCGGCGGCGGCGCAAGGCTCTCGCCCAGGTCCCGTGTTTCCTGAAGGGTCAGGTCGAGCCACAGAAGCCTCGGATCCATACTTGGTGGTTGTGGTTGATTCTGCAAACTATGTGAGTTTGGTGCACGGGCCGCAGCGCCTTGGCTGGGCCTTGTTGGCAGGAGGGCTAGGGTGAAAAACGGGAAGATTGGGGGAAATGGGGGGGTGGATTTTTTGGATCTTGATGATTTGGAGTCAATTGGTTTTTGTGGTGTGTTTGGGGATTTGGTGCTGGTGATATAGGCCTGCTGTGGCCAGGTGCAAGACCAGGTGTCCCGAGGCACCCAGGGTGGGATGGAAGTTTGGAGGATGTTGGTTTTTGAGGAGATTTTTGAAGTTCTGTAGTTTCGTGATATTTGATTTTGGCTTTTTGGGGGGTGGTTTTGCTCGTATAGGGAGGTGCCTCGGTGGGTGCAAACGGTGGACCAAGCCTTGCTACATCCTTATGCAAGGCACACAGATTGAGAGACAGGGTGCCAGGGGGCATTGTAGGCCTTTTTTGTGGAAAACTACAATTTGTTGACTTGATGAGGTGTGGATTTTGGTAATTGATGGATTGACGGCTTTTCCGTGTATTTCCCGTGATTGGCATGGTGGAGTCCAGTACCTTCAAGTACCTTCAGAGTGGAATGCACGGTCATGGTCTCTGTGGACATAGAGCTACGATGTTTCATGTTGAGTGGCATATACTAATTGAATTGTGAATATCTTGAAGGGGAATCTTCAGAGGCTCTTATGTTCAAAAGTGGCAGTTGTTGAAAGTTTGGAAAACCGACTTGAATCCTGGTGAAAGTGTTTCTACAGAGAGCATCTTCTTTTGATTTTAACGGTATTGTTAACATAGCGAGCTTTCAATTTAGCCTAAAATAGTCACTAGTATTGGAGAGTAGTACTTTTACCTTTGAACACATAACAAGGTCGACTGGATTGCCAAACTGTGGCCCTCTAGTACAGCTTTAAGCACATGTTTGGATTTTTGGATTCGAAATTTTTTTGTCTTATCACTCGCTATCGTTATTCGCCTTTCTTCAACAGTTCTCTTCCGGAACCTCTGCTACGAGGCGATTGAGCAACGCAATCCACCTTCATCCACCAAATGAATCCAAGATTGCTTATCTTTTTTAGCCCTTTTGCCACGACAATGGCATCCTTTTCCCAATTGTTCGATGTAATCGCCAATTTTGAACAAAGCTTCTCCACGTTCCAAGACAACTACCCCACAGACTCGCACCCACAATTTTCAGAATGGAGGGCAACAGTAGGAACAGAAGGTCGCAGGAGACAATTCTAACAAGTTGAAGCCAAACTCGAACTTGAAGCCAAAATCGAACCCTTAGTTGCAAAAGCGCAAAACGCCGTTAATGGTTTGTTCCATGCAAATGCAGTGACGCTTATGACGCAAGAAGGTTCATTAAGCGAAAGTTTCCTTCACATTTAAGGAACCCACTGGGGCGTAGTGAAGTAAGTAATGATTTTTGTATTTCTGAATGAACTAATTGTATCAATAGCATCAATAGTTGAGAAAGCGCTTCCCGGCTCTTAGTTTCACATCATGAAAATACAAACTTCCTTCTCAATGCCTCGCAGTCTAGGTGCCGCAGGGTCAAATAACATAACCATCATCAATTTAATATGCTGTCAGACCAATGTCAAACCGTCACGCAGTTTGTAGAGCATCTTTTTTAAACACCTTGTTGACTTTCAAACACGCAATTGCAGTAACATCTCATAAAAATGGTCATTCAGGTCAGCTAATCAAGTACTGCCATTGAGACAACTATTAGTAGCACTCTCCTTCCTCATAACGTGCTTCCACGTGGATCATTTTGACGGTCTGCAATGGTTATATTGAAGACGGAAATTGCCTTTGTGGCCTGGTTTGTTGTAGAAACGAGTCCTCACTGGCGGAATTTACTCCATTGTTGCACTAAACCCTTAGTGGCTCCCTAGTTGATCAGGAAATGTCTATTTAAGCATCATCGGCGCCACAATCTAAGCCTATTCACTTTTTGACACAAATGCCAAGCAAGTCTTCTTTGGGAACTTTTGATTGTGGTCGCTATGGCGGCACTATGCTTGCCGATATGACGGACGATAAGCAGCAGTTCTACTTCTGTGGAAGGAACTGGGGATTGGATAAGGCCAAATCGGGTAGTAGCAAAATGTCTTACGCATGGAAATTGATGGTCCTTGTCTTCTTTGCTTCGCTACTAACTCTATAAAGATGAGCGTACTATGGAGCTGTGGCTAATGGACTGTTTGGTGAAATCGTGATAACTACTCCGGTGGAGGTTTATGATGGAATATTACCAAATCCCCATACCTTGCACTTCATTGTTTGACTTCACGTTTGAATTAATGAGACTTAATACGATATAATAGACAAAAATGCCCAAAAGGTGAAACAATTTCTAATTAACTGGCGACCTCAGACTGCAGTGTCAATGTGCTCGCATCCTAGATTTTCACCTGGAAGAGCAGCCACAAGACCCAAAAACCATGATAGTCGCCCAATTCGTAATGGTCATTCAAATCTCCATTAAATCGATAAATATACGGCAATTTTTCATCGCTTTACCATTTTCTTGTTGAAGATTCCATTTCGCAATCTTCTGTACTTCCTACTATTGTAGCAGAAAATTGCAAACTGACCGCGCTTTATCAACTTCACCATGTTAAGAAAAGCAGCCAGTGTAAAACGAGCCAGCAGCGTGGCGATGCCGGCATCGTCTGACTCTGAAAGTGACTCTGACACATTTGAAGCCGCCATGAGAAGAAAGTCCCAGAAAATCGCCGACCTGGTGCTGAATGACGAGGAGCTACAGTATGATATCGATACACCTATTAGTCAGGAGCAGAAGGAGGAAAAACAAGAGCAGGGCTCCAAGTTTCTCAAGAACATCCTAGCACAGAAAGACATTCGTGATAAGGAACGGGAAAAGACAAAGATTGAGTGGCAGCGGAAGAATGCTAAGGGTATGGTGTTTGAGTCTGAGGAGTATAAGCAAGTCGCAGGAGACTCCCAACATACCCCCAAACAGGACGATAAAAAGTACGGAACAATTTACGACCTAATAAAGAGCAAGGTCACGAAGCAGGATTTGGCAGAGGCCAGACTGCGCTACTTGGAAAGAAACTCGTGAATAGATTAAAACATATTAAGGTCGAGCACAGCTCGATAAGGTCATCGCAATGGTTACTTCATAGCCTCCTGCAAGGCAATAGTGTCAACTAGGTGTTTGGTGTTGTCCAGGCCCGTGGCATTGGGGCTCACAGGCTCCTCCTCAATGGGCTCAATGGGTCTTCCTTGTGACAGACTCTGGTTGTGGACAATACGCTCAATCTGGTCAGCAGATGGCATGAAGATCACTCTGGAGCCAGAGCTCTTACTCATGTTCTGCAAAGCGTCCAAGTATCTGATCTGCAAGGCGGCAGGAGAACTCAAGATGTCGGAGGCCTTTCTCATCTGCTTAGCACTCTCGACCTCGGCCTTAGCATTGATAATCTTGGCCTCACCAATACGCTTGGCCTCGGCAGCCTTAGCGAAGGAGTCCTGGACAGAGGCAGGCAAGGTCAAGTCCTTGATCAAAATGGCCTCAATGTGGACACCCCACTCGGCGGCGGTTCTGGCAATCACGCCCTGGACGGAATCGGCAATTTCGTCTCTCTTCTCCACCACATCCTGCAACACGCGAGAGCCAATGACGTCTCTCATGGTGTTTTGAGTTCTCTCGGTGATAGCAGAGTGGATATCGGAGATGGCAAAAATGGCCCTCTGGGGGTCCACGATGTTGTAGTAAACGACAGAAGTGATGGAAACAGACAAGTTGTCTCTGGTGAAACACGATTGTGGAGGCAAGTTCTTAGCATTGATCTTGATGTTGACTCTTGACAACTTCTCAGACCATGTGTTGACATACGAGGTACCAGGCTCAACGGTTCTGGAGAGGGCACCGAAGGTCTGGACCAAGCCAACCTCACCCTGGTCGACGGTCTTGTATGGATTTTCACAAAGGAAGCAGAAAACACCGCAGCAGCCAAAAAGACTACCCATCAGGTTGATGAAGTTCTGGTAAGCATCCCTTGGTGGGGTATCGTAAGTTTTGGCAAAGTTCTTGACGACCATCTCGGGCTTGACGTAGCCCTCGGCTTCATCTGTGATTGGGTTGTTAGGCTTGACTGGTTCAGCGGACATTGGAAAAAAATTAGTTGGTTTGGGGGAACAAGGAATTCCATGAACCTTTATATGCTCCATGCCCAGGCTACGCAGCCCTGGGTATTCTGCAGGACGGGGGAGCCGTGTTGTGGCGTTGTCTGCAGGACGGCAGCTCCCACCGTCGGCGGTAACGGCATTTGGGCCGACAATTCGGGGAAAATAACCGGCAGGTTTTTCAGATCCTCGAAGGAAAACCGTCAAATGTCACTCAGAAGTGTTCTTTTCCCACCGCTGCCCCTCAGTGTGACCGCCCCTTCTGCCACTTTTCTTGGAGCAAGTGCTCATGCATCGTGGGTTCAAATTTAGCGTACTGCAGGTAGATAAGCGTTAGTATCATCAGCTCGCGGCGTCTTTACGAGTTTACCGCGAGGCTGAACCGAGCCGTGTGTGATCATCATGCAAAGTTTCGGCTATCCACGTGGATTTCTGATTTTGGATATTTTTAAGGAAGAATCGTGACTGATTTTGATGATGTCGGGTCGAACACCAACAGCATGATGTCTATTTTATTTTTGCGGCATCGTCTACCTCTGACGTCAGCGTGACCTGCTACAGATCCAGGAACACCTTCAACAAACCGCCTGGCTTTGAAATTCTGAAAACCAAGAAAGACAGTTCACCAGCCAAGGCCAATTTTCCACTGTAGCAAATTACACTTTTTCAACCGATAAGCATGCAATCAACTTGGCAATTAAGGCCACAAAAGCAGGGCCGCGAAATCTTAAGATTTAACGGTATTGGGGTGGAAAATTTCTCGGCTGCCATTGTGGAGGTGGAGTGCTCAGTGGATGATTTGGAAGGGGCTGATTTCTTGAAGAATTGACCAGAATATGTGAAAATCACACTTCAGCCGCAGGGATCTGGTCCTGCTGCAAAAGGCCATGAGCACTGGCTGCAATCAGTATGACCTTGCGTGGGGCATAAGCTATAAAGTTTCTTGGATCTGGGGAAGCGGAATTATATCTGCCCCACTTATGCTGGCGGTTCCATTTCTATAAAGTATGTGCAATTTGGCCTACCCAACATAAAGGTTCCAGCCCTTCTCCTCCACCAAGGCGGCCCACTCTATCACGACATTACCGTCTGGGTTCCGGACCCAGCTCTCCTCCACTGTCTCCTCAATTCTCGTCAAGTTTTGAACATGGTACCTCAATTGAGCCTTTCTGAACCTTTCTCTCATTCTATCTCTGTCGTAGCTCGTGCAACATGCCATTCCACACACCAAGATCAGAAGCGACAACAGCACAATCATTCTGGTGTCTAGAAGCTCGTCGATAAGCTCTAGGGCCTGGAGAAGCAAATCCTGCTGCTGAACCAGGGATGGTGGCAGACGCATCACAACGGTATTGAGGTGTATCTTGCAAATGAGAACGTAAAGCTCAAAAAGCTTTCGTTGAAGGGTGAGCTCTTTGGGGTCCAGCTCGAGAATTTGTAGATGCAACAGACTCTGCACGCAGCCGGAGATCTTCTCCATGAGCGACTTGTAGGTGGTTCTGACGGTTGCAAAGTAAGCTCTACGGGCTTCTTCCAATTCAGGCGATCTCTCCACCAGAGCCTCGATCATATCCTCGATTTCTGCCCACTGACGCCGGAGCATCACCTGGGAGTTTCCAATGTCACCGAACAAATTGTAAACGCCTCCCAAAGTGCCCTGGAGAGGATCAATGCCGTAGTTGACGTCATCCTGAAGAACCGCCTCGTACTCCTCAATCGGCATCAACGTTCCCTGTCTTACCGCATTCAGGGAAAGAAGATCGTGAAACTGGAAATTGTGAAGAAGCCACTTGATGTCGTTGTTATTCAGAAACATCTGGGCGACGGCCTCGAGACCACCAAATGACTTGATAAGGTTCGAGCACTGCGTGAGGAATCCTCCCCAGTGACACACATCTCCAGTAGTCACCTCGATACCGATAAATATAAGGTAGAATGCCAAAAGCACAAAAAAATCTTCGTTGTTCAGCGGCACCAAAGAGTCGCCAATCTCCTTGCAGATCAACTTGGCAGACTTTTGCATGTAATTCCACGGCTGGGAGTAGTCTATGGAGGACTTATCACGAAGCTGCAACCAGAATCCACCCCAGGCACACAAGGCATAGAGAATGGAGTCTCGGGATTGGGCAAGCTGCATGAAAGTCTTGAGAAAGTAATTCAGCGAGTCCGTTCCGATGTGAATAAAAGAGCAAAACGCTTCCGAGTAGTGCAGTAGAAACTGGACCCCTGTATCGTCCAACTGAGGCACCACTCTTCCAAAAAGGATATTATCAAACGGCATGTTGAACAAATCGAAAAGATCAGGCAGCCCCTTGGGCAGCGCCACTGCAAGCTGAAGCTGTGGATCCACTATAGGCTCTATCAGCTTGGGTTTCTGTCTTTTGGCTACTCTATCGTGAGGAAGCGGCTTGGACTCGGGCCATTCACAGTGCAAACCCATCCGTGAACACCCGCCACAAGTCGGGACGACTTCATCACACTTTTTCCTGGAATTAGTACAAAATCACAAAAAAAATTGCTCATCAACATACTTTCTGCGTCGACAGCAAAGACAACCCAGGTAAGATCTGGCTCTCGGGCCGAAGAATTTGAAACCGTGGGCGTTTTTGTTCTTGTGACGGACCAACGGCAACAGCTTTGCCTCGACCGTCAGCAAATCTGTCGAAAGGGTGTGAAACATGAGTAGTTTCTAAAAAGTTTGGAGCCGATGGCGATGTAGATAAGGCGGCGCTTATTGCCTATTTGGGCGCGCAAACTCCACACGTACTTGTCCATAAACTTAGCGGGTTTTCACACCAAAACCAATTACTTGTTATTTCCATGAGGTGTGTGGTAGTGGGTTCCGGCGGCGTGGGCTCCATGGCCGCCTATGCGCTTAGCTTGAATTCTGAAACGACGGCAATTGTGAGATCTGATTACGATCAAGTATCCAAACATGGCTTTTCCATCGATCTGGTCGATTACGGCACGATCGAGAGTTTCAAGCCCCAGCATGTGGCCAAGTCAATTGAGGATGCTGCACAGCTAGGGAAGTACGATTATATCGTGGTGACGACGAAAAACATCCCCGATGTCGCTAAGGTGGAAGAGCTTATTGAGCCACTAGTTAGCGCGGAGTCGACAATCGTGTTGGTGCAAAATGGCATTGACATTGGAGCTCCATTTGTGGAGAAGTACCCGAAAAATGTCGTTTTGAGTGGCGTTTCGATGATTTCATCCACGAACTACGGTGGAAAAATCACCCATGTTGGCCACGACGAGTTGATGGTGGGTGTTTTCCACAACCCTGCTTTGGAGGTTAAGCCTCAGGAAATGGCTGCGAAAACTTTTGTGGACTTGTACAAGAATGACAAGAACGACTGCGTTTTCGATGAGAATGTCAAATTCACCCGCTGGCGGAAACTCGTCTACAACGCCACGTTGAACACCGTGTGCACTTTGACTGGTGTGGATGTGGGGCGTTTGGAGCTTTTTGGCGGTATGGACCTAGTCAGGAAGGCCATGAGAGAGGTGCTCAGTGTGGCTAAGTCAGATGGCGTGGATTTGCCAGAAGACATAATGGAGTTTATGATTCGGTCCGATGACGGAAACTACTACGAGCCTTCGATGTTGGTGGATATCCGCAAAGGAAATTACATTGAGTTGGAGGTGATTTTGGGAAATGCCGTGAGGATTGCTGAGCGCAACGGAGTGGATGCTCCGACTCTCGCATTGGTGTACGATTTGTTGAAGGTGGTACAAAACCGGACAAAGGAAACCAAGGGTGCCTTGGAGGTGCCCAAGGAGCGGCCTGTTCCGGGTAAATAAAAGTAGGAAAAGTATGAGTTGATGGAGCTTGAGAGGTCAATTGACTAATGCTGCGAGGTCGGTTTCTCCATGCTATCACCTGTAGAACAAGGAGGGAGGAAAAGCACGTTGACGAGTAATCGCTTATCTAAAACGAAAAAGCTAAAGGAAGCTGGTGGAAAGTTTCCGTTAATCTACCTTGTGGACTTGCAATGGATCTCGATAAATCACCAACAATGGTCGTCATCTTAGACGGTGCGTGAAGTCGATCACCGCCGATCACAGGCTTTTCCTGGTATCACGGGGAAATGCCTACTTAGGGACAAATACGATGATTTGTTCTTCAATTGTTATCCTTCAGCGTAGGTGACCTCGTGCTCTTATCCGTGAGAAGACGGAATGCATTGTCCACTCTTTATTGAGAGGCTATCGGATTCCAGGACAATGTGAATAAAACCCTCTCCAAGAGTTTCCCAATTCTTATCTCTGAACCACTCCCAATAAAGTTACCCTTGCCGTCATTGCCGTTGTCTTATCTACGGAATCTGACCACCTGATAACCATTTTGGCGAGGTACAGCTGGTTCACGAAGATCTTTTTCGTTTTTGGTCTCTTTCAAGTGTGACTTTTGAGACACTGTGGCTCAATTCATGATCTCCGCTTTGGCCGAATTTCCCTTTTTTTAAAAACTCTCCTCTAGAACCATCTCCAGGTAACACATTCAAGGGGTTCGTGTTATCAGGATCATGCGGACTCTATAGACGAGCTCCTGACGGACTCTATAGAATTAGCCCCTTGATAAGAACCAATTATTTTTCAAAAAGTAGTAGTAGCACTGGTTGTTCATACTATTTGATCTTGGCTCTGATGACTCAGACACAGAATGACTCAGTCCCCTACACAAGCACAAAAATCACCATATCCAAAACTCGAGTTCAAACTTTTCATAAAAAGAGCAAGGAGGACCACGAGGCCCGCCCTAGTGCTAGTATAGAGGCCAGACTCTATGGAGAGGTGGTTCCATAGAGGACTGGTGGATATGGAGGCCGTTTCCGTGGCGCGCTTATTTCTGTGTTGGGACGTATTTTGCAGCCATTTGTGGAGGGGCCATAAAGTATAAATACGGGATCGGTTCCCACTTCTTTTTTTCTTCTTTAATGACAGCTTCTTCTTATCTCTTCTCTTCGAAAGTCAGCGAGCACTCCCCCATGGTGGTGGGAGGCAAAGGCAACATCCTCACTGTGGAGGACCCTGCTACTCATAAACGCAGGGAGGTGTTTGATGCTATGGGTGGTGCTGCAGTGGCAGCTTTGGGTTTTGGTGATGAGGAGATCGAGGAGGAAATGGCCAAGGCTGCTAAAGAATGCTCCTACTCTTACTTGGGTTACATGACCAACTACTGGGCTGAAGAGTTGGCCAAGTTCTACATCGACAAGTCACCCAAGGGAGCATTTGCAGCGGCACTTTTCACTTGTTCTGGATCCGAGTCCAACGAAAACGGCATGAAGACCGTGAGACAGTACTGGCTCGAGCGTGGCCAGCCAGAGAAGACCGTTTTTATTTCCAGAAAGCAGTCCTACCATGGATTCACCATTGGTGCTCTTTCACTCAGTGAGTCAAACAGAAAGGACAGCTTTAGAGCCATAACCTTGCCTGCCGAGCAAGTGCCCAAGGTCTCGTGTGTGTACCCTTACAGGGAGTTGAAGGAAGGTGAGACCTTGGACATGTACTGTGAGCGTCTTTTGAAAGAGCTCGAGGATAAGATCGTGGAGGTTGGACCACAAAAAGTCGGAGCTTTCATGTGTGAAACGCTCACTGGATCCACTTACGGAACCTCTCCTTCCATTCCAGGCTACCTCCAGGGAGTCCGCAAGATCTGCGACAAATACGATATTCTTTTCTGGCTTGACGAGGTGATGTGTGGAACAGGTCGTGCTTCTGCTACTGGAGGACTCAACTGCTGGGAATCGTGGCCAGATTTCGACGGTCCAGACCTTCAGCTGATTGGGAAGACCTTGGGAAGTGGATATGTGAGTGTGGCTGGTCTTTTGGTTTCTCCAAAGGTGAGACAGGCTTTTGTGGAGGGATCCAACTACATTCCTGGTGGTCAGACCTACCACCAGCACGCTTTCAATTGCCGTGTTGCCTTGGCTGTGCAGAAGAAAATTGACAGGTTGGGCTTGAGAAAGAATGTTTTTGAAAACGGCAACAAGATGGGTGAAAAACTCAAGGAGTTGGCTGAGACTACTGAGATTGTTGGTGATGTTCGTGGACTTGGAGGTTTTTGGTCGCTTGAGCTTGTGAAGAATAAGAAAACGAAGGAGCCATTCCCCGCTAAATTGACCGTGGGCGTCAAAACCACCGCTAAGCTTTTTGCCAATGGAATGACCAGTATGGGACTTGGAGGAACCGCTGGAAACGGTCAAGGCGACCATATCACTGTGGCACCTTCTTACATCATCACCGAGAAGGATGCAAACTACATTGCTGAAATGTTGATTCAGGCCGTGAAGGAGATTGAGGATGATTTGCGTGCAGCAGGAGAGCTTTAAGTAGTTTTGTAAGGAATGGATTATGATAGAATGAAGGGTAGATTTTGCAGCCATTTGGTGGTGTATGCAGGAATGTGAACTTCAAAATCCTGTAACTCCGCGAATACGCAACGTGCGGAGCTGATACTTACACCAAGTATAATTGAGCCTTTAAAGTTACTGATGCAGATTTCAGAACTGTAGCTTTACCTTCAGATATAAGAATATATAAAAGCCGTATGCATCACTTCCTAAGATAGCCGGTCTAGTATAGTGGTCAGTACAGTTCGTTGTGGCCGAACAGACCCAGGTTCGATTCCTGGGGCCGGCAGTTTTTTTGCAATTCGGACCTTTCTTCTTTCTCTTTTTTGAAGTAAGCCCCTTTTACAGCTTTTGCACGGCCAGGTAGCGATGTTTCACCTCTATCTGCACCTTTCTGGCCTTCCTTCAGAGGAAGTTGAGCTATTTCTCTCTGATCAGTCCCAAAGCTTCCCTCCGAAGAAGGACTCCTCAGCCCCAGCCACTGCCGCTGCCGCGACGCAAACTAAACCGTCCAACCCTTAGAGCCAATCCTTATCCCGAAGTTACGGATCCATTTTGCCGACTTCCCTTATCTACATTGTTCGATTCTGTCCAATTAGGCTCTTGTGGACTTTGATGATGAGTTGACCAAATCCGCTCTTTCTCTACCTTATCACGAACTCTTTCCAGTGAAGTTCCGAATTATTCAGTGCCGATCGATGAAGCATAAGGTAAAGTATTCGTGGAAAGTGTAGCACCATTACTCAAATTCGCCCAAGCACAAGCGGATAGGTCACGCAGGGAAATGCCTATTCAACAATATTTCAAATGCCAAAACATAATCAAACCCTGGTAAGCTTCATCTATATACTCACCTTTCACACCATCATAAATTGGCTCACGACGAAAAACTAATGTCGACTCAAATTCTTCACTTCATTGAAAAGAACAAAGATCAAGATTACGTTGATCAGCTCATCAACAAGTCGATTTCTGACTCAAGATACGTTTCACACGACACCACCTCTATCAAGATAAATTCAGATACGTGGAACTTGACATCTCTTCGATTGGAAAATGTCACCACTTTTGAAGGTAGCAAGAAAAACGAGTCTTACCTAGAGCAAGTTAGAATTCGGGAAGGAATCGACGTCATGGGTTCCGGCCCTAACTCCAAGGCCCATAACGGTAGGATTTACTTTTGTCATTACGAAGGGCCAGAAACATGGCCTCACGAAGTACACCAGTCAAGAGTTTACTACAGTAACGGGAATGAGGAGGTGTATATTTCTCCCAGCATGACAGTTAACGACTCCTTCCCTTATCAAATGCGTATGGTGGACACGATACATACAAAGGAATTACGCCGTCAACCTGGCGCTTCAAACATTCAAGGCAGCCTACAATTATCATATAAGAGTCTTGGCAATTATCAGTTGGGTAATGATTGTGTTATGGTAAGGCCTTATGAAAAGTTGAGTCAACGATTTGTCCTCTCGTTTACTCAGTTCCCGCCATCGTGGTGCCGATGTTTGCTGGATATTAATCTCAAGCTGCTTCAAGTTTCAATCGTTGAGCATACGAGCTGTAGGGTGCCACTTAAAGAGGGTTTTGGGCTACAAACAGAAATGAGAGAATGGCAATATTTCAAAGTGAATTACGGGACATGGAGATATTTTTCTACACGGCGATATGCTGGGTATGATTGCCCAGTCTTCGGCATCCTTGCCAACATCGATTGCAGTCTTCCAAATCTTGGGCCGACTTTTGTTTCCAACAACTGTAAAAGGAGCTATGCTCTTAAGTTCAAGGTTACGTTCGAGTGTCCAAACAAGTGCACCTCGACCTTCACTGTTGCCACTAATATCGTGGTACCAGTAGTAAAGAGTGAAGAGCTCGACTTTAAGTGTGTAACGGGATTTCTGTTTCTTCAAAAACTTCCACTCTCTACACATGATGCACAAGCGTTTCAAAATTTGGTAGACAGGAAGGTGAGATCAATTGACAGAGATGGACAAGTTTCCCGTACGTCTGCAACAGCAAGCACAAGAGGCGTTTTTGCAGTTGTAACAATTGCTTCATCCCTAATCGGACCTGAATGTCTTGAAGAGGGCACATACGTCAAGAAATCGACACCTATTGATTACTCCGATGCAATTGTCTACAGCGGAAAAAAGTATGCCATTCACTCCCGTGATTTGACAATTCCTATTACTGGGCCAGGACTCCTTCCGCCCTACGACTATTTCAAAAATACGGGTGCATCACGGCCCGAGATATCATGGATCACAGAGTACAAAGTAAAGCCCGGGGATTCGTTGAGGGATGTAGGGTTATTCAACTTTAATGACATTTCACAACCGCTGTTGATGATCAGAAGGGTCTCAATAAAGATAGTGGAGGTAACACACAGGGTGAAACGACAGCAATGGTACACTGAGTTAAAGACACATGATTTGCTTGAAGTGC